CTATTTTAATAACAGTTACCAAGTGCAAATATTCTATTAGAATTACCCATCTCTATTGATTTTTGATAATAAATGAATACCTTATATTTATCTTTTTAAATTCCAATTCAGTTAAAATAGCAGTCCAATATTATATGTCCCAGGAGTGTATCCAATCTCAGCAAATTTTTGATAATAAATGAATGCCTTATATTCATTTTTTCAATTCCAATTCCTTCACCATAACTATGTTTATCCTTTTCAGCACCAATTTCTCACCATAACAATATCCAACCTGAAATGTGTTCCATCAGTTTCACCATCTCTGCAGATATTCGAATATGTTTTCCTTTCGATTCCAATTCCACTCGAATTACTCATCTTTGCAGATTATTGATAATAATTGAATGCATTGTATTTATCTTTTTCGACCCTTCCATTTTGAAAAAAAAAAACCAACAATAATAATATAGCTTTATCATTTCCCATCTTAGCAGGTTTTCTATAATATTAATGCTTTATGTTCGTCTTGTTTAACACCAATTTCAAACATATAAAATTCCCAACATTATAAATGTCTTCAGAGTCATTCATATCAACAAATCTTTGACCAAAAAGATAATTTGATTATGACTTCAGGTAATTCATTTTCATTTGTCATATTTTATGTGTAGAAAAACGATACGATTAAATTTATAAATACTTGAAATTTTATATGCTCTTAATACGTATTTGCAAATAAACTATAAACAAATTCGAAAGGTGAGTATCTATTGCTAGTACGTACAAATATTTGCCTATAACTAGGTACAGTTCACTCTAATTAAATCTTGATATAATGAAGTTAAGCTCAAATTTAATTGATATCGATCTATGTTAATAAGAATCGAGAGTGAAATCTGAAATCAGATTGCCGTATATATCGATGTCCTCTATAAGTGGATACACATGACACTTACATAACAATTCTGATAGTGGCGTTACTAGAAAATTCCATAGCACTAAACATTAATAATGTAAACAAAAGCAGCACGAGGTTTAAGAATCAATATAATAAAATTACTCATTCTGTGTGGAGAAAATGACTATACCTTATAAAAAAAAACAATAGTTTAAATGAGCAAAATTTTTTCTTTAGCCACTAGTGAAACCCAGCTAGTTCCCATTTCGCGATCAATTTAAACTTGGATCCGCTCAGATGGTTGTGAAAACTAATTCAAATATTTGATTTGTTAAGGCATTACTTAAGTATGAGTTCCATAAATAAAAAACCTCATTTTGATATTTGGCTAAGACATTGCCTGTTCTCAACTCAGGACCAGTATTCTTTATGTTATTGCCTATGAAACGGATAACTTAACTTTATTACGGTAATGCAGTCATAAGACACAAGATTTTTCAGTAAATAGTCAGTAATTTTCACAACACTCTAGCTATTTAAACCAAAAAATTAATTCGGTATAAAATCAATAAACCAAGATATATAATCAAAAGATTCCAGATCAACGTGAAAAAATAGTAGAAATGTATAAGAATGGGAGAGTAAGAAAATTTTTTGCCACCCGCTGTTTTTGTTGATGAGCATGGATCGCTTGGTAGGTTAAAACATCGATAGCAAGATGTTAACTTTCGGACTGAACTGATTCGACTCTGAAGTAGTAATTAGATTCAGACTCTGGTAAATTCATATGATAAAATATTGAAATTATATTTATCTTACAACACATTTTAATACAAATATACTGTATATTTGAAGCAAGCTTAGGGTTAGCATAAAGAAATTCGGCCACTAAAACCGGCTTAAAACTAACTGAATCTAACTAACTGTTTTAACACTCCTACATAGTATTTATAAAAAGTTTTTTTTTTAAAAAAAAAGTTTCAGGATCTTACCTGGAAGATTAAATAAATACTTCAAGTGATTTATATGATATTCATAAAATTAATTTTCTATTTATTTGATATAATCATTTAATGCTGTATCCTTAATATCTTTTTCCACGATCTAGTATTTTTGAATCTAATCATATAAACAAAAAAGTAAAATAAACCAAAAAAAAAAAAAAACAGCTTATAAAGTTGTATTTTCTAACTGCTGAACTCGATTTTCTAAATTAACTAAAAAAGTAACAAAGTCGGTAGAATAAAGAAGACTATTGCTGTTTTCAGTTTCTAATTGTATGAATGGATTTGAATTATTCGAAATGTGTCTTGTTTCTAGTCTTTGAATGCGGCATTCTAAGTTAGATAAGTAAGTAATAAGGTCAGGTGAAATATCTGAGATTGTTGCGTAAGAGCAAGTAGTAGAATCATTGGCTTCTGAACTAATGGCTAAAATAAACTTTAATTAGAAACACTCGAAAAAATAGTTTAAAGTTCATAGACAGTTACATATTACCATTTTCCTTTGTAAATAGTGAATATGAATTTGAATTATTTAAATTATTGCTCTTAGGCATTTTACTGGTACTGGATTTCTGCATTTTCTGGTAGGTTTTTTCCGTAAAATATTCAAATTTCCAATTCTTTGACATGGCTGTGCAGTGAGTTTTTAAAGTAGATGTTGTCGTTCTTTTATAAAATAAAAATACAGTCTAATGCCAATATGTACATATTACGGAGTTACAATCGCGGAATCTCGGAGTTCGGAATTATTCCATTGACGGTCCTCACTATTTTTGAGAGTCTGTGCATTGTCATAAAAATTTTCCTCAATAGTTTTCGATTACGGGAAATAGCATCTATTTTTACTATTATTTATCATAAATGTATTCATTATAACGGTTTGTAAATTAAGATATTAATTCAATGTGTATAAAGTGCGTCATTTGCAATTTTTTTTTTTTTTGATGTTGCTTATATAAAATAACTTCTAACAAATTTTCCACAAAAATAATAATGTTAAATAACACACCTATACGTCAGTTCAATGCAAAACGCTCTGTAATTTACCGAAATATATATATTTCAATTCTCAATTATAAAATTCTAAGTTTGTGGCAAAATATGATTTGTCAATCCAACATCGTTTCCATTTATCAGAATTTCAAATTTTGGTTCTATTTGAAAAAGATTTAAGCCATTAGTTGTTCTATAGTTTAAATACA